ATCCTAGAGAAAGTGTGTGTTCGGTTCCTGCTAAGAGCCAGGGCTTTCAAGATACGTCACAGTGGGCTACCAGCTTCCAGAGCAAAGGACTCCACCTCAAGACACCCACTGGCAAGCTCATCCGATCACTTCTCCCATGCAGTGCCACAATCTGCTAAATCTACTTGTGAGCAAGCCTAGGAGCTGCTGCTAGAACTTGTGGGAGTTTATCAGGAAATGGCTCACACACTGGAGGCAGTTTTGATGGGACATCTTCAGTTCTGAATGTAATGAGTCAGTTGAAATGAAAAGGCAACCATAAGCCAGCTAAACTGTAAGCCGGCATGAATGCTGCCAGAAACAGAAGACAGAGGAGCTGCCATAGTAGTGCAGGGATCTTCCCATGTCTCCAAAGCATCTACAACATCCTGCAGCTGCAGGATGCTTCCTTCAATGTTGCAGAGTACAAGAGAGAGAGAGCAGCTGAGTGTTCTTCTGATATATTTGGCCCGGCCCCATTTTAAGCAGCAGCTTAGTTCTGAGAGCCAGATAATAGTAATTGTCATTAAAAGCAGTTGTCATCAAAAGAAGGGTCTCAATTCTTATGAATTTCATTCCCCACACCTCTGCTGCATTTTGGTCTAGCAGTGATTTGGGTTTTGCCCTCTTCTCATATGTCTCTTTAAGTTTAATTATCCCCCATGCTCTTGCTGTTTTATTTCATCTTATTGCAATCTTTCTTCTTAATTACTACATCACATCTAGTTATATGAAGAATCCTGACAACTGAAATGATTGTTTTAAGACAAAAATATGCTTCTGAACTGATTTGCTCCAAATGACTACCTTAAACACTTATTTTCTACCCACAATACCTTTCCTTTTGGAGCAAAGATTAACTGTGGGAGCAAAGAAATGAATAATTGTGTGTTCTGCAGTTGGACCTTGATGAAAAATTAGCATATTGCAACATATTAGCTTCTTGTTTGCTATTCCTTCACAATTTTGTGTGTGCATGTACATGTACACACAAAAAATGCAAAATAAGACCACTGCAAAAGAGGCTCTGAAGTTCTGCAAACTTATACAGACTTACTTGGGAGTAAGTCCCATTTAATACAATGAAGCTTACACTAGTAGACAGGTATAAAATATGAGCAACTGATGGATTTGCATGGATATTATTTTAAAAGTGGCTTCCTTATTACACATTTCTCTTTCATCTCTTTTTCATATCTCTTAATTACCCACTCAAAATGACTACCTCACCCCTTTTAATATTACCATTGAGGGGGTGTCAAGTAATATAATTCAGATTAGTTCCATTGATTTTAGTGAAATTGTATTGGTTCTACAGAAACAGAGCCCATGGCTCATTAACTTGATTTCTTAAATACGTTATGACAATAGTTACTTTGCCTTTAGGCACCACAAGTCACTACCCATATTTCAAGGTTCTGTTTGCTCTTTTAACTATATCCAAACACTGCACAGATGGGTTTACTCAACTATTGCAAGCAGCAAAAGATGGAAAAGGGGGCAGGGGAAAATCTTAAGGAAAAATTTAAATCTTTAAAGTCTTAATCTTTTAAAGGCTAAAACCCCACAAGCAGAAATGAAAATATGGTAAATGGAGGGATTGATGAATCTGTCAATGTCACTGTTTTGTTGTTCCAATCTTAAGGCCGATTCATCTCTAACTTAGAGGAAAGAAAATAAAGTTCACATGTAAATATATATTCACTGCCTGATGTACACATCTTTGCAAACTTTTTTCTAATATAGTTTTGAACATTTTGCATACACTGGATAACTCTGTAAAATTCAGAGATATGAAAATCACAAGTTAATTCTTTTTTGGTTCACACAATAGTTAAAATATGTGAAAGTAAGTGCAAACTGAACATTTTTTCTCCCCATCCTGAATTATAAGTTCAATATGTTTAAACACATAACCAAAAGAGGTCAAAAGATTTAGGTTTGTATTAGATTTGAATGTACTGATTTGAAAGTATAGATGCAAATTAAGAAAGAATTACTTTAATTTAAATAGAAACACAATACCTGTCACCAACAATAACTGTGGGAAAGAATGTGACCAGGTAGCCTCTTTTGGCACACAGGTCCCAAGATCCCTCATCATTTACTATACTGGCTAGAGGTGATGGAATTTGTACCTGGAAAACCAAAATGGTCCCCATGCTTGAAACTGAGTTTGCCTCTAAATAGAGACAGGGTGCCCAGCTGCCCTGTTGCAAAGCTGTTCTTCAAGTAATACTGTTAGCTCTTCTGTTAGCAACAGCTAAATGTGGATTTTTCTGATAACATCCAATGGTTGAGCAAATTGAGCAGATATTACCATTTCTCAACATTTATTTCAAGCAGTTTTGGCTTAAAAAAAAATCTAATACTGACACTCAAGTCCCAGCCAGTTGCACTGCTCATTCCCCTCTTCTGATAAGAGTATCCTATTCCTGAAAAAGAAGAAAATAGGGTGGGAATGGAGCCTGACAGCAATGGCCTCTCACTCAACTTCATTTCCCCTGCCCCTCTGATCACGGTGAACCAGCATGCTCCCAGTCATGGATGGAAGAGCAGACTCTGAGCTCAGGCAGGCTCCTTTCCCCAGGGATTTCCCACTGCAGTGATCAGAGAGCATCAGCAAGTGCACACAGGTGCACATATGAAAGAAGAACTGGGCAAATTCCCTTTTAGCTGTCTGATCACCCATACCAGCAATAGAAGAGGTGGCAAGTGTATGTGGGTGGCTGGGAACAGGTGGTGGAAGTACTAGAACTCTCTTGCCAAACTCCAGAAGTGAAAAACCCTGGAGCAAACTCAAACTGAGTACCTTTGACATCTTGCATTCAAGTGGCAGTACTCAGAACTGCCTATTCCTTACCTATGTCTCCATTAAGACTAATGAACTAAGAATTTTACTTCCTCTTCCTTTAAAAAGGGAAGAGAGCAATTTTTACTCCCACTTTGGGTCACTTCTGATGCTCCGTAAGTGATTTATTTTTACTGATTTTATCAGTAATCTCATATCCACTTTGTACAGCTCTTATCTTGTACACAGCCTTGAAAGGGATTCTGCCCTTTTAAATGTGGTTGAAGTTATTGCAACCATAAATATTCTTGTTATCGGTCAGTCATTTGTTACATTCTTGCTTTGGCTGAACCCTACTTGTGCTTAAAAAATACGTGAGCATGATTAGTTGGTCCACAGTAAGGAGAGGGATGAATTTTTGTTGACGCAAATATATAGCTTACTCTCTTGGTTCTAGATTCAGCATTGCTTTATGGATCTGGAAGACCTCAGTGACAATCATGGCAGATTTTCTTTGAATCCAGCAAATTCTCCATTGGATGGTTCTATAACTCCATGAGTTACGTGCTGCTTTCTCTTTAACTCCACCAGTCCTGTATTATTTTTTCTTTAATAGCTCATTCTTTGCATTATCTAGAACACTCCCAGGGCTGATTCAACAACCATTTTTGTGGGGTTATTTTCACTGCAGGCTGATTATGTCAGGTCCATTTGGATTCATTTAGACACAAGGCCATCCATGCATCCAGCTAATTCTTGCTTTGGGAGGAGGGCTGCATGTGCACCTGTGCTCCACGAGTGATCTATAAAAGCACGTGAGAGGAACCCCGTTGATCTCTGCTGTTCAAATGCCCCACTGTGCACGCCACACAATTGTGCTGTGCTTTGCACTTCACATTGCTACATTATGGGACCTTGAGGCAAGCCCAGCACTTCATCTCTTCATCCCACCTGAGAGTAAAGAACCCGAAGAACCGGAACACGAGTGATACCAAGCTGTCTTCAGAACACGTTTTCAGTCCCATGGCAGCAGCAGGAATGTAAGTGGGGGCAGAAAGAAGTTCTGCAGGTTTGCACAATGGTCAGATTAAACTACAGAAAAACTGATTCTTTTTCTGTATCTGATAGCATTATGATTCTGATAGCTAGAATCTATTGGCTGGTGTCTGTGATATCACCAACATTTTCCTCTACCCACTTCCTTAGGGATAGGGGAAAGGTAAGATTTGTTACATCTATATCCAATCTTTCTTCCTCTGTGGAACTCAAGATGGCACATGCAGTTGCCTGTGATCTTCTCCCTACAAACAGACCAGACTCAGACCTCCTTGGCTTCAGCAAAGTGGCTGATTCACAAGTCATGCCCTGCGATGTAAAATTGATGGTTTGGATCTAGATATAGTAATATTAAGAACACACCCACTGAATAAAAGTGCAGTTAAGTATGGATCCAACTGAACTTTAGATTAAAGGCATATATGCATACAAGTACACATGCTTCTAATTTAAAGTCAAGAACACCTTAAGACTGAGGGCTGACTTACTGAGCCAGGACTCAATTTGCTAGTTTGCCAGAAATGGCATATTCAGATTCACTGGAATCAAGAATTTGTTCTGACAGCCTAAAGGAACCCTATACCAGCTGCAAGAGTTCTAGGAATCATTTTTGTCCCATGAATCTTTTAAGACACCGGTTTCTTAAAAATGAATACGTAAATAAAAATTGTGTCTTCAGTGGCCATGGACAAGCTAACAAGCAAAATGAGGCCATTTTGATGCCTGGAGCCACTAGGGACACCATTCTTGCCCACGCCAATATTTTCCCTGGGAGCTGCATGTGACTCACGTGGTGCCCATGCCTTCCCATGCTTAGTCATCACCAGGGCTGAGTAAAGTAGCCACTATTACTCACTCAGCTTCCCCATGCGACTACTTGGTATCAATCCATTATATGATACACCCAAATGACCACCTGCACTGCCCCTCTCCCAAATGCATCAGCTCTTACCATCTCTTTTTTATAGTATCCTTTTTAGCATGAAGTGACAGTCAAAAGAGCAAGGACCTTCACTTGCTATGCTCTTCTGGATACAGTAACGGAAATGCTTCTTGCTCTGCCACAGCAAACATTTTAGTAGGTTTGAATGAATGACAAACAAACATGCATTCCTTAGAAATCCAAACAACCAGCTTTCAGAAATCAGCTGCCAGATTTATTAATCTACCTGGAAAAATGTGGAATAAAAACAGAACTTAAACTCTTTTAAAAGGTACAGTTTCAAAAGGGTTAATCAATTCCATATAACAACTTCTTGTACCAATTTTTTCCCCTTGGGAATTCATTCGATGGTGGGTGAATTGCCTATTTTGTTCAGTGAATCACTACCTTATACAGTATATATAACTTTTTAAAAAATATTATTTAGACATTTGAATAGTTAGGCTTTTTTAAAACCACCCACCCCATTCACCAAATATACATCTCATCCTGACAAGAAATGCTCTAAGCCAATACTGATAAACCAAAAGCAATAGCAGAACTTTTCATTAAAGGGACTCATACACTGGGGCTCTATTTCATGAAAAAGTAAAGCCTTCTTAAATCTGGATTCCCCCAATACTCTTTGTCTGTGCCTACACCTGCTGTTTGACATTTTCTACCTTCAGGGAACACTTTTCACATTAACTTGCCTGCCAAGGAATGTGTGTGTGTTGCAGCATATTCCAGGTGTATACCCAACTGATGTAGGAGGGTTGTCAGGGCAGGTAAGCATCACCATCGCACTAGGTGAGCAGAGAGTCCTGGGAACAGGAGGTTGGTCATCCTAGGGCTAACCCTGATGCTGACCCATTTAGCTATAAAGTAGAGTGGGTAGATAAAGCTTTGATAGCAAAAGAGGCAACCTGGGAGGGTTGACAAAACTTGTTCCCTCCCCATCAAATCACACCACACACTGCTGCTTAACCCTCTTCCTTTCAGCTGAGCCCCCATCCTAGAAGCGCGCCAGCAGACAGAAACTGGAATAAAGCAGTGGAGCATGGAAAGATGAGGAGGGGATGCATTTTGCTTCCCCGTGTGCCTTTTTATTATTGAGAAAAGGTAAGCTCCAGCCCAGCCCAGCCCAGCCCAGCCCAGTCCCACCATCTTTTCAGCCAAACAGGTTGATTTAAGACACACCATGTCACATTTGGCCTGTAAGTATCCCTAGGCGATTCTAGAAAAAGTTTCAAAACACGTCTCTACCCCAAAGGGTAGGGGGTTATTCTGTACATATATTAGTCATTTGGACTATTAGTGCTACAGATTGGTAGCAAGAATAACATGAAGGGCTGTCCATTGAGGTTTTAGTAAGGCTAGCATACCCTGGATTTATACACATGCACCTATTAAGTTACCGTATGTTGCTTGGTGAAGTAAATGCAAACCCAGTGTGTTTTTTCTACAGTGGTGGTTGACAGTGGCTAAGACTCGTTAGTTTGAAATGAATTGCATAATAAATCATTTATAGCTTTACTGGTTTCCTGACCAACACTGAGTGCAAAGTACATCACCACCTCAAGGCATCTTTGATTTCATGTCATTTACAATGGAACATTATTTCTGTGGCTAATGATTATGGACTCCTAATTCTACTTTCCTTCTCCCAGAGTTGATAATACCAGACAAAGAATGTTTGTGTGTGTGTGTGTGTGTGTGTGTGTGTGTGTGTGTGTGTGTTGGGGAAGAAATTGCTTTGAAGAGTCACTGTTTACAAGGCTCACTGGACAGCTCAAACCTCATTTCTATCCTTTCAAACTCGGAAACTAGGATGTTTCAGAAAAGACGTTCATAAATAGTTAAAACTTTCCCCCCTCTCAATTTTTGTATGCAAAACAAGGGGTGTGTCTCGCTTTCAACAATACCCTTCTCAAAATTAAAAAAAAAAAAGAGAACCTTTAAAGTTGCCTTCCCCAACCCAGCACCTTCCAGAAACGGTGTAGGACTATAATGCCCAGCATCTTCGTGCTGGCCAGACATGATGGGGATTGTCGTACACATATGGAGCAGGCTGAGATGGGAAAGGCTGCTTTTCAATGTTCTTCCAAACATCTTTGATCACATTTACATTTAGTGTCCAAAACAAACTTGATTGATAAGCATCAGTGCCAGCACTACAACAGTATACAGCAAATTCATTGTATTCTTTTGACGGCTTGTGGAAGTCTCTGCTCCACTGCAAGTTATAAAAGGTACTGCAGAGCTCCTCTTAGCAAGCTCAAACTTACTACTCATTTGTCAATGCGCATAAAAGCTGCTTATAGCACAGCTGTGGCCTAAGCTATTTCTCTAAGCAATAAATGGTTCAAGTCATCTATTTTGTCCTGAAATGCTACCTGTAGTTACAGCATTGCTTATAAATGGGCATAGTAAATTCAGCAAAGAGAATATTACAGAAAAAAAGACAGCAGCAGAAGCATTAGCATTATCTAGTATGTATATATGTTTATCAACATAACACAGCAGTAAAAGGTTTAAATGCATATTAATGGGTACCATGTCTAAAAATTACTAAAGTACCTATTTAGTGTATTGGATATTTTGCTGAAGGAGTGCTTGCTGTGGTCTAAACAGCATTAACTAGTACAGTTAATTCCTATTGATTAAATAACGTACAAATGCATCAAAGTAAATGGAAGGGCGCAATACATTTTCTCTGCGATCACAATCCCATATTTAATGCTGAAGTGATAGCCAGAATGGATCGGCACATCTAATTGTTATATTCAGGGGGGTCCTGAAAGATCTGAAAAGGTAGATATGCTGTACTTGCATAGCAAGATGGTACCAGATACAAGAAGCTAAGCTACAACCCTGCAATTTGCAGTTTCAAGCCAAGAATTGTGCTCTTCAGTCCACAGCAAATGCCTCTCTTAATGACCTGATAATGAACACAAGGCAGCAGGAAAGATATTTAAAAATAGACACTAAGGGAAAACTGAAAACAAATGAACTTGGCTTTCAAAACAAAAATGGAAACAGGCAGTGGTATGCCTAGCTCTTCTTAAATCGTGCAACTTTTATAACTGGACCAAAGGTTAGTGGCAGAGCATGTGTTTTGCATGCAAGAGGCTCCATAGGTTTCATCCCTGCCATCTCCAGTCAAGGCTGGGAAAAACATTTCTCTGAAACCCCAGAGACCTGGTCCAATTGGAGTGGGCAATCATGAACCAAATGGGCTAAAGGGTTGATTCGGCATTAGGTAGTTCTCCATGTCTTTTTAACATAGAAAAGTAGGCGAGGGGGCATGACAAAAGGTGGGGGGGCAGTGACCATGGCAGGTATTTCCCCAAGTAGTATACAAATAATTCAATCAATCACATCTAGAATTAACTGTACTATGGATACCCCAAGAACATGTACAATATCTTTTAGCCAATATGAAACAAAAAGAGACATGATACAGCTTGGATGTACTTAAAACCTGTATATTCCATTCCCAATCTTAAAGAGAGAGAAAGCAAGCCCACCCTTTCCTTCTTGTTCCACAGAATAAATCATGGGATCCCAATCTTCCCCTTTCAAATAAAGTGCACTGTCCATGGCAGACCATAGGAGTAATGCAACAGGAGAAGCCCCTTTATAGTACTATTTTATTCTTTTTTATTCTTTCTTTCTTTCTTTTTTCTATTGTTTATTTATTTTTTTACAAAACCAACTGAAGGGGATTCAGCTTTCCTCCTGGTCTCATGAAAGAGGAGAAACTTGGGGAGGGGGGGAGGAGCGGGCAGGGTGCTTCATTAACGTCAGTGCAGTTAATACACATAGCCTTCGTTATAAGGGTGGGTGTTACAGCAGCCTCCTTCCTGCATGTAGACCATGCTTTCGTCAAAGTGCGACAGAGGCACGGTGTCCTCTTCGTTGATGTGACGTTCCATGTCCGTCTTCAGCAAGGGGCGCTGGTTGTCCGGAAACGCCATGGAGAAGAGGGCTTCAGGATCACAAACAAACTTGTAGACGTATCTCTCTCCAGCAACCTTGGGAGCAATGTTAGAGAAGGGGGGTTGGGAGCATTAAAAGTAGAAATGGAATCTCTTTTCCAGGGCTGGCAGCAAAGGCTAGCATGCCCAGACAGCAGCCAATGGCCCCACATTGACTTTTTCAGAGCTGGCATCCAGAGTTGGCATGTTCAGGCACCTGGCAAGAGGCCTGCCCCTGCTCTTCAGCAATGCAAACTGCTTTTTCCGCGGCCTCTTATACTACTCTATGTAATGGTGCTGTTGATGAGAGGAAGGAAAGGTAGATATCCCTGCCTATTTGTTCAATGGCTCCCCCCTTGTCAATGAGGCAGGTAGTATCCAGGAGGAAGACGAGCAGGGGGATGAGCAGCTGGGAACAACATGGGCAGGAAGAGTGACTCAGGGTGCACCCCATAAAGAGATGAAAATCTAAACATTTGCAGAACTGGCAACAAAACACTTGGAACAATGCAGTTTGCAGCTGCTTACTCTTATAAACTGGTTTTTAGATTAATATGCAACACTCCAATGAAATTCAGTGCCACATTAACTGCTCACCTTTTGCATGATTCCCTTCTCATAATAATAACGAAGTGAACGGCTAAGTTTATCATAGTTCATGGCCGGCCTGTTTTTCTGAATCCCCCAACGACGTGCCACCTGTCACAGAAAGAAACGATCAATGGTTTGCCAAAATTAGTTTAACGAACAGGCCTTACTTTCAGCTATATTTTTCAAAATAAAAGTTCATCAGAGAAGTAAAAATTATGAACAAAGTTCTTTCTAGCCAAGATGCCCCATGTTCAAACATGGGATTATTCCAAGGTACAAAATGCTGCTGCATACACTACGATAGGATAATAACTCCACTTTGTGCATTAGGACCTGTACTAGAATTAGATTCCTTTGCATGATGGAACCTTGAGCTGGGAGTCAGGAGTATATGGGCCCAAAACAATGTGACTAGCGTTCTGAGTTAGCAAATATGCGTAAGGGAAGCATCAGATCCTCCTTATTTTTCCATGTCTGCATGCATTTTGCTCATGTCACATGTTCCATGTTGACCCGCGTGAGCCTCCATTTGTGTGGGGCTGGGACCGCACACTTCAAAGGACAGGTCCAAGATCCCACCAATTACAAAAAGGAGAGAAGATGGATGTATTTCTCTGCAGCTAATGGCAGGGGAAGACAACCTTAAAAATTTAGTTTGAATATTCCATGGAAATGCACAAGGCTACTATGAAGATAAATGCACCGTCAGCTGTATAGATTAGACACGGGAGAATCAATTCTGACAGAACGATGAAGTAGGGCACTTTGGCCAGATGCACAAGAAGTGGCCAAGAGAGATCCACAGGCTTATTGCTCACCTCTTCTGGTTCAATCAACTTGAATTCCATGCCTCGTCCTGTCCAAGCAATGAAGTGAGAGTTTGATGGATCATCAAGAAGGGCTACTAAGAACTGCCACAGCTGAAGAGAGCCCCGGCGCTGGTATGTGGGCCCTTCACGGTACATTCCTGGCTCCTGTTTAATATCACCTATGCAAAACAAAACACTGCTTAATGGAACTCAGCTCTTGTGAGGACAAGGACAAGCCAACAACAGCAGAAGAAAGTGTGTTTTAATTCTAGGCTATGTATGTTATTATTCTATGTGTTATTAACCTATCTCTCCTTTTGGAGATGGCCCCGTATACAGGATACAAGTACAAGGTAAATAAATTGCTATCAACTGAAGCCACATGCAACTTTTAGAACATGGCTAAATTCAGAATCTCTTGAGTGCAGCTTCATGTCTTTGTCCTAGACCCAATCTATGCAAAACTGACTTGCAAACGTTACACCAGACCTAGGCTCGACAAAGCAGAACACCTTTTAATAACAATTTGGATATTTGAAGGACTTCATTTGTATACAATACTGCACACAATATCTCATTTGGAAATGCAATGTAAGCTTTATATATCTGCAAAAACTGATTGACTGAAATGCTTTTAGGATGCAAATTCATCTAAGAGAAATTTGACAGAGTATTTGGCTAGGACTTAAACAGTGTGAGCTTTATGTACGGGTATGCAAATCCTGCAGATAGATGAGTCTGTCTTTGGCGTATTGGACTCATACAGATGGGTTCATATTTAGCATAGTTTAGCTGTGCATTAGCAATACTTCAGAAAAGCACTAGATCAATTGCAAAGGAAAAAAACCCAGAAAAATACCACATACAGCCAATCTGGAAAATTATAAATTGCTCCTCCCCAAAGCCAGCAACCTCATATGCTTAACCCAAGACATTTTAAAGATAATCTCAGTGAAGAGCACACAGAATTGTCAGCTGAAAAGCTAAGAAGTGAGATTACATCCCCCACCCCGTGAACGATGCCTGCAATGCTTGATCTTTGAGCAAGAAAGCATTACTTCCTGCTTTGACGCAAGGCAGAGCATCCTAAAGACTTGCACTATGGTACATAACTGCTTTGCATTAAATCTGTTCACACAGAGATCTTCACGACCAATATGGTTGAAAGGAAGCTACTTAAAGCATACACACATTGACAATCATTTTAAACCAAAGAGAAACATGACTGCTTAGGTATAAATCCTAGCTTTTAACCTCTCATTGTTCAGTCAGATGCTGATTACAACTAATATGGAATCAGAGACACACACATGACTAGAAACCAAATTCTTCAGTAAAAAGCAGATATTTGATGCTGCAAGATTACTGAAACCAACCTTCTGCTATACTCCATTCTCTTCGGCCCCATTCTCTAGGGCAGCATGCATGGACTCAGGTGTCTGAACTCATAAATGAAAAGGTACCTGAAGTGTTGCATGTACCTCACTCTGATCTTCCTTGAAAGGGACATGATGTGTTGTCCCCTCCACAGAAACATAATTTGGAGACAGAGCAGGGATAGAGACAGCATTTCTAGAATCAATACATCACTCATTTTGTTGTGCTAACTAACTTTTATTACTTTTTCAAGATTGAAGATGAATATTGCTTCTGCTGATATCCAACCAGGAGTGTATGTGCAAGGCCAGACTACGTCCTCAGTAGTAAAAGAAACTGCCACAGAAACTAAAGAAAATAAAAAACTGTGACTCTGAGGTCAGGTGCCCCAGGAAAAAAAATAAAGGCAAAGTGAGATGCTAAGCAGCATATTCTCTCATTTCCTTGACTGACCTTCGGAAAAGTCATCAGTGCATGGTTATGTCAGCCTGATGTTTGACGAAATTAGCAAAATCAGTTCTAAGGGGAACAGTGAAACTAATTTTTAAATTAGACATAAAGATCATGGCTTGAAGTAACACAGCCATAACTAGCAGAAGTAATAACCTACTCCCAAGTATAAATAAGAGTTCTTTATGTTCTCATAGGTTCTCTATGTAATTTAACCATTCTAAGCTACATGTAAAAATCTGTTTATACATGAATGAATGAAAGACAATGTCAGAAAGTTCCTCTTGTTCATTGAGCACTGAAAACAAACTCTTGAGGTTTTTTAAAATATATATTTATATAAACATTTCTGTCCTGAGAGCAGTTCCCCTCCCATATATTAAGCACAGCCTAGCTGCCCTACTGGAAAAACCGAATGCTAGTGCAGCTGTCAGCATCAGTGGAAACAGCCTTCTCCAGCTCTAGCTGGGCAGAATTAGCTAAGCACCCTGCAACCGGCTGTCTAAGCTGAGAGGAGGCACCTTTTCTTTAGAAAGCTCTACGCCCTGACAAGACAAATGCTCCACCAGCTGGAGGGAAGGAGGCATGGTGAGTCTGCTCTCTTCACTGGCGCTCTGGAGGAATGACAGTGATGGTACAGCCCTCCCACTGCTGCTAAGGGCTTTCTTCACTTTCCCCAGCTGAAAGAGATGTGATAGAAGACATGGAGGTATGTGACCAATAGCAATAGCCAGAATGCCTGCAGGAACTAGGCTTTGCCAGCTGTATCGCATGCCTGTTTCTGAGCCCAATTTAAGGTGTTGATATTAGCCTCTAAGGTCCGAGACAATCTGAGACAAGATTCTTGGAAGAGCCTGTATAATCCTGTATGAGCATTAAGGTCAGCATCTGAGGCCCAAATAACAAGGACAGGGCCTTTTTTGTGGTGGCCCACCACTTTCGAAAGCTCTCTTTCTAGAAGTATTTATGCTACACTCTTTGCTAACAGTTAGGAGGCTTTTAAAGATCTACTTTATCCAGCCTGTATTTTATTCATTTTAGTGTACTGCACTTTTAATTAAGATTGTATCTGCTGCTGCAACTTCGTTATTTTACAAATTTACCTATTAAATATTATTTTTATGATTCAGTTTTATTCTTGTGTCAATTTAATAAAGTGACCGTCTACTTTGTAAGGGGATTTCTCCCCAAAAAGCGAGTTATAAAACTATGAAATAATTAACTTGTTGGTGTGCATACTTCACCTTCAAAGCTGGAAGTACACTCTGCAAGCTGAAAATCTGCTTACACGTTTGGGTGGAAATAGCTATGGTAACATAAATAGTTTAAAATTCCATACTTGTCTGCAGAAATCAGCAACTGAATTTGCAATCCTATATCCATTGAACTCAGTGGGGTCTACGTCTGAGTAAACATCTCTAGGATTGCCCTTCAAATCAATTAGAGGTGTGCTTTGCAAACTAGCTCTTGCCAAAAGTCAGCGAGTAGTGCAATTAATGTGACATGGAATTCCTGTCCAGATTCCTTTGGCCACAAAAGCAACATTAACATATTTAGCAGTTTCCCCCACACAATACATGCTGTTTACATCTAATCATGAGGAGATGGTTTATTTCTATACAAACATTTGCTACCAGTTAGCCCTCCTCAAAAGCATTTTTAAAATATATTATACATTCTACTCTTTCGGCAACAGGTTCATTAAACAAACTAATACAGCATTCAACAAAGCACAGCTTTCTCTAAGGCATCCAGAAACCCTTGAATAGCTCTGTTGCACTTGTGTTCCATAATTCATCTCTTCATGGATAATAAAAAAAGGACAAGAGTTTGCATTAGTCATCAGTAAATCCAGAGTAGCTGCTTTCTGTTCTGCTTCGTTAATTACCGGATCAGCTTTCAATAAATCTCTCATAACAAGCTGCATGTGATCATCAGTGCGATGGAAATCCACCTAGGACTCTTCAGAAGGGCTAAACTACAGGGCTGGCTCTGGTCTTTAAGTATAGACACTTTTGCTTGCAAAAAAAAAAAAAAAAAAAAGGAGGATACTCTATTGAAAAGCAGGGTTCAGTTCCTAAAGACAAAGATCATCTTTTGGTTGGGTGTATGGCAAATGGTCTCTTAACTGTCTTGAACTGGAAGGCTGCTAGCCTGTGTTTTGACCATTTCAAAATAAAACACCCTAATCCTTTACTCTTTCTAACTCTTCTCACAAGGAAAAATACCTGCTTCCCATAATATATGTATAATATACCTTCAAACTTCTCTGGAACAACACAGGTGTCATCATAAAACTGTCTTGGTCCCTTTTCATACATACAGCCTGTAATTTTAGAAGAAAGAGAAATTTATTCACTAAAGGGAATCTGCAAAAGAGGCATACAACAGAGCAGACAGCCTGTTAAAGTAAACATTAAAACTGACAGTCAAGCCATATGCATACATTGCATTGGTTATCTTGTTCCAGAACTAATTGATAAGGAATATTCTGCTGAAGCACAAAATGACAGCCTTCATTCTGAGAAAATCCACACCTCTTCATATCTAATAAAATAGAGATTTTTCCAAGAAAGATACAGAACTGTGATTTAACTGCCAAAATGAAAACATTAGCACATTGGCCGAATTTCCAACTTGCTTAGCTCATGCAGCCTTGACATGAAAAGTTACCAGATTGGGCTCAAGCAAAGCAGGAAACAAAAAAATGTGCTAGATGACATGGTCCTGGTTCGTATGCAATGCTAAGCCAAGATTTAGAGACAAGCTACTTCAAGACTGAGCAAAACGTCAAGCTCCCACAGGGTCACTGTTATGCAGCATGTAGCTCCACTTTCCTCAATTCCAGGGTGTTGTTATTGACAAGCTTTCCACCGTCTGGCTCATTTCAGATATCTTGGGTTACAATTCCCATTACGCTGACCATTTGCTATGTTTGCTGAGGCTGATGAGAGTATCAAAATATCTGTAAAGCCACCAGATGTGGAGAGCTGTTACACATGAACAAGGAATTGTGGCTCCAAACAAAATCTTGTCTGTTGGTAAACAGTTATAAACCCTGGCTTGTTCAGCTGACTTGTTAATCATATCAAGAGCTTGTAGTTCATATGCAGTGTTAAGCCAAGATTGGGAAAGTGCAGAAGGAGGAGAGAGGGAAGGGTGTTAGCCCAGTCCTTCAGTTGGGTTTACAGATCCTCATAGTTTAGCATAAGATGAAAGACACATCTTGAAATTATGTGCCAGGGCAGCCACGTACAGCTGCTTCACAGCTCAAATGCCAGAAAATCCAAGTTTGCATTATTGCTCTACCAGGAAGCATATTGGCCAGCCATCAAACTAGTATTTAAAACTCTCAGTGAATTTCAGAAGTGCTTTAGGGCATGTACAAAGAGAGGTCACCAAGTAAAGCATATACTGTGTGCTCTCTTCTTTCAAAAACCAACCCCCATGATGTTGTGTTTAGAGCATCAAAGTCACAGTAGCTCTTTGACACACTTCCACCCACCTTAAAGCATGGGTTCGAATTACCAGTGGCTCAGAAGTATGCCCTCAGGTAATCACAACTTGCCTGAAGGTAGACTGCAGAATGTTATAATTAAAAGCACATTAAGCTATCTTGGAAAAGACATCCAACTGCTGGAATTTCTTCCTGAGTTTACAGATGCCTGACTATTATCAGCTTTTTAAAAAAGCGGCAACAGAAACCAGAGTTTCAAAAGCATCTCATTTTTTCTCTTTATGTACTAAAATTCTGCTTCTAGACAGAGGTAAAGTAACAAAACACACACTTAACTTCTGTTCTGTTTGGGTGAGCCAGGAAGCCTTCTTGCCTCATATAAAGAGAATGGCAGCTAGGCACTTCTGCAACGAGAAGACAGTGCTAGTTAGAAGACAGGCTGGAATTGCACAGGACTAACAAAGCAGGCTGCAGACAGAATAGTAACCAGTAAAGTATAGTTCTGTCAAAACATAGTTATGATTTTAAAATAGCACATGAGAGCCCCCAAATGAGAAGACCAGAATGTAAGAAACAGCAATCTTGCCCAATACAAATAAATGAACAATTATTAAATTGTCATTAGAGCTTTCAGTGCAGCTCATTACATCAAATTCAAGTATCCAAATAAACTACGTTTTTCTCTCTAAACCACAGTGCAGTTCATTTGGTATAGCAATTTGGAAGCCCACTGATTAAATGTTCAGCTGACGATGCATGCTTGTGCGCCAGGGCAGTGCTTATGTGGAAGAAAAATCTATTTGCCACAGAAGGCAATGACCGAAGGATGGAATGTGAAGCACTGCATTTTCCCAATGCACGATTGTTTTCAAGAACTGCCATGTGTAAACTGAACATATCATCTTAAGCATATCATCAGCACTGCACACAGATGCCAATCAATGATCAAACTTTGCTTGGTGAACACAGACAGGGTTTACATGGCTTACTTTGGCCATCGCTGCTGCTGACAAAATTGAACCACTATCTCCAGAATACAGAAATCAGCTTCCTACCACATTAGATACTCTAATTGAGAATCATTTCCATAGGGCATGTTAGGACAGGACATGGCAAACACAACTGTGAACTTCTGTTCAGCCACTGGCCACTCTGCTAATACTGTATGTTTTAATGGAGATCTAAGGGGTTAAGGCAAAGCCTTAAGCAATCTCCCAAGACTTTCCCTTTCATTCTTCTATGCCTTTTAAATCATAGGCTAGTGATTTCACTGTAGTGAAATGGGGACCACATCTTTGGGCAAGAGGTATCCATGCCAGACTTTAGGCCAGCCTTTTCCAACCTTAATACCCAGCATTTCTGTCAACCAGCCAGGCTTACTGAGGTTGATGGGAGCTAAAAGTCCAAAATGTCTGGCAGGCATCAGGCTGGGAAAGTCTGCCTTAGGCTGCTTGCTCCTGTATCAAGGCAAACTTATTTTATTCAGCATGCAAAAAGGGAAGTGATACAAACAGTGATGATACATGTAGAAACTAGAGCAGTAGCCATAGGCCAGGATACCTGGGAACATATTGTACTGAGATTAATACACCTTCCATACAATAAAGATGTCAGGAACCTCTGGCCCAAGACCCAGATATGTTGTCCCACAATTTCATTTGGCCCAGTGGCATTTGGAAAGAGCTCTCTACCCCAAATGGGCTTCTGAAGAAAGCTGTTGATTGGCAATTATTCCATGATCAAAACATCAGATGCTTGCCTCTTGAGAGATAATTAATGGCCCAGTTTGCATGGGCCATTAACATGCAACCCTTCCACTTCCCGTATGTTTATGTAAGTTTTTTTAAAACACTTGTAGGACCCCAAGAACTCTTACATCCCACACAAGCCCAGTGGGAATAGTGTATTCAAAATGGTATGTAGTAGATGCCATGGCTCATACCCCATGGTGAACCTGGCATATCACAATCAAGGTGGTGTTGTGTTTACTCAGTGAATTCTCACCTGTGCAGTCAAAGGTTCAAGAGATGGGAACACCCCAATAACTTTCTAAGCATTATAGGGTTTTTGTTTATTTATGGCATTTCCAATACAGTTAAGAACATATAAAATAATTATGCATGCATGCCTAACTGTTCCTTCTCCACCCGTGGGTCAATGGCCCTTGTTAGGCATTCCCAACCCCTGATAAGTCATTGTGACCTAGTGATTCAGTTCCTATGTGTAAGTCAGTTGTCATCCTGTGGTTAAACATTCTTCAGTTGCCTGCAGAGGCCAAAGTTGTTCCATCAGGCCCAATCAAACACTAGCCTCAGAGACTGCTGTTCAGTTTGAGCAACTCATTTCTTGGGGAAAATCTCAGCTGGCTAAGCTCTAGCTCATGTTGCAAAGCCAGTCCCTTCTGACAGCCCCCCTTAAAGCTTTGGTACAACCTCTGGAACTTGGTTCTTTCCTGTATGTGATCTGCCTTGGTCTCAGTCCATGCCTGCTCTTTGCTTCTGCTCCGTTGGAATGGCATCTAGTCTCCCAGTCCCAGAGACCCTCAAAGGCTCCTGACCCTTGCTTGGAACTTTAAGCCATCCCTCTCCTCTTTTCAAAAAGACACCTTTATGATTCACTTTACTGCTGGAGACAGTGTTAACCTGCTCTTCATCATTGACTCCAGAGCAGCTAGTAGCTCTCTCCTACTAAGTGAACCTTGCAGGCCCTGAATACTTCCTTCAGCCTCCCAAATATATTTTAAGGGTGCAGTCCTATGCATATTTAGACCACAAAAAATGTACAAAACTTAGCATGTCATACTGGAAGTTACAGGACTTATTTTTGTCTAAACATGTATAAGATTGTGGCCCAAACTAACAGATTTAGTTTTTAAAAGCTTTTTCTTATTTTTGTCCATATTTCTTACTATATAATTTAACATCCATGTATCCAAATTGTCTGTTACCTTAGACTGCAGTCCTTTATGTACTTAACTGGGAGTGAGCCTCCATTCAATACAGGAGGACTTATTTCGGAGTAAGCACATATTGGATTGCAGTTACCTTCCCCATATTTCTCGCAACTGCTAATATAAATTTTAATGTGCAAAAGGCATTTAGTGTACATGAAGCACAGTCTTAAATGGGCTTACTCAGAAATAAGTCTCATTAACAGACACAGAGATGCATACTCTAGAATTTGATGCTTATCTGTTTTTCATCGCAAAAATACTGCTCAGTGCACCTTGTAATCTGTTCTTCAATTAACCCCTGAAAAATCACAAAATAAACAAACCAACAAAAAAGAGTAGGATGGGAGGACCAAACATAATTTGCCCAGTGTTGTGTGCAAGCCTTCTCCAAAATGCAATCCTAAATTTCACTGTTCACTGACTAGTGATGAGTATCAAGGGCTTGGAAGGAGAAGAAAATGAGATTTTACACTGAATTCACTAAGCAAGTTCAGCCACTGAGAACAATGAGAGTTCATCTATCCATGGTCTCATTCTACAAACCTTTACTACTCTTTTTCACTATGAACCCATCACTTTGGGCTTGTAATATTTCAAGATTTTTTAAAAGCAGCTGCTGAAAAAAACAAAAAATAAAGTGTTTGAAAAGGGGCTAGGCACAATACATGACATGGGGTAGCCATGAAAAGCTGGCTTCCCCTCTCCTTGTAACATTTAGGCAGGCCCACGTGTGTGTATGTGTATGTGTGTGCGTGTGTGCATGAGAGAGAGAGAGAGCTAGAGAGAGAGAGAGAGAGAGAGAGAGAGAGAGAATATGGGGTAGGGTAGAGGGGAGAGAGATCATGATATTTTACATTTTGTCAAACTCAACATTAATGGATCCTACTATCAGGGAAACAGCATGGGTAAATCCACTCGAAAGTTACCTGGAATAGCAGGGGAGACCTTGTTACAAGTCATCTCTAGTTCTGCCCTCCGATCTGTAAAGAGTTGTATAGGTTTGCAGATAAAGGTCAGTATTTCCTGTACAAAATTAGCTGTATTATAAAATAAGTGAGAAGACTATGGGAAGAAAAATATGTATGTGTGGTCATGTCATCAGAAACACATGTTAAGACTTGTGTTAAGACTTTGGAATATCCTCCCCAATTTTAGTTGCAGGTCAGATCCTGCTATGTAATCCTGTTTCCTGGGGTGGATGTAAGGTTGTTGTTACATTGCATTCATACCCCACCCCTTTCAGCTTGTGAGGATCCTAAGGCTGTTTACATAGCTCAGTTTGATCCTTACAACAACAGCCCTGTGAGGTAGGTTAGGCTGAGTGTGAGTAATCGGCCCAAAGTCAACCAGTGAGCTTCATGGCTGAATGGGGATTAGAACATTGATCTCCCGGATACCCAGTCTGATACTCTGAGCCATACCACAGTGGCTCTCACTGCTTTAAGTCCTGCCAATATTGTATGTAAGGAAGGAGGGAGGGAAAGAAGAAGCACATGAGCACAATGGCTATTCTTGATCTGGCAAATCATGGCTTATTGGACCAACATCGCTATGTCTAAACTGTGTCACAGATGGGCTGTGCAGGGCAGCAACCATGCAGAAAGAGGCTGAAATAGCTGATATGAGCTCCACCACGTGCTCCTCAGTTAGGGGTACGTACAAGCTCACCTGTTTCCTGTTGACTGGTGAGACATTCATTGGCCCTGCAGCCTCAGTTACATTAAAGATGGCCAGTGATTCATAGGAACACACTGCACTTCTGTAGCGGGGAGTTTGCTGCTCTTGTTTAGGATCTCCAGGTGATTAGAACCCCGATTGCACATGGTTCTTCATGCCATGAGTACAACAGGCTCCCTGCTGCAGGAGTGGAGACTGGAGGTGTCCTCTGTGGAGAACGTAACAGAGAATGCATGAAAGAAAACAACAGCTTGGGGCAACGGATTAGCACAGGCATCTCTGTATTTCCACTCCCGCTTTTGTTAGGCTTAGACAGACCTTACGTGCTTCAGCAAGTATGCAAATGTGAACATATGAATATTATATTTTCCTAATATCCATGTTTGCGTATATGTCTGTCTATATTGTTTAACCCCCAAGAGCTGGCAAGTAGACACAAAAGCAATGAAGTTTGGAAGTTCCCCAGGGAGGGGCAAGAAGTCAAGGAAAGGGAGCCTCCATCTGCCTGTAAGTGCAGACAAACTATAGTACAACCCATCACTTGTGAAGACCCACCTATCCCAGGTATGCAGGTACCTTCCCCAGGAGAGCCATCTAAAATGTCCTGTGTCAACGGCCATGTATATGTCAACAGTCTCCTTTTTTTTAAGTTGTACTTTGCAACATTAACTACAACATAACTATGATTAAACTGCCCATTGGAGAGGAAGAAGAGTATAACCCAGAAGAATTTGTTCCTTGCAAAATACCTAAAGCCTTATTATTCCAAAGTGCTACTGGTTAATTTATGACTATCAGAATGGGTCAAACTCTAATCAAATTGTAGAAACATTTCCAAAGTGATTATTCAATCAAATGACTAACATGGTTAATTAGGAGCCATAAACATTGCTCTGAAGTTCATCAAACTAATGACTTGCCCAGAAAAATTACTGCCAATTAAATTGCCTGCTGCTTTCATTTCTACCTTATCTAATAAAAAGGCCAGCCAATGAAATTTAACATTGCAGTTTTAACTTGTGCTAAATGCTTGACTAAGACCCAGAAGTAATTTAAGTTGCTTACTGGGGTTACCTTTTAGAGGAGCAGATGAAGATCAGCAACTGTTAATGCATGTTTGTATAAGAAAATGTGTGTGCATATATATGCATGTGGGCCATCCTGGAAGAAGGAAAAAGTAATATGAAGCAAAGCTTCAGCAGAGCAGTAACTTCAATTTTTCAACTTTCTAGGGCAGATTCCTATAGATATTTAAACAGAAAAGTCTGAATTTCCAGCATCCCCCAAGTAGCATGGCTGGCTGGAGCATGCTAAGAGTTGTACAGCTTTTCTCCTAGCTACATATGCATAGGATTGCTCTCTCAGTTATTATTTATGTGCGTGTTCTACGCAACATAATTAAGGTTTCCAAATTCCAAATATTGCAATTTTGCATCAGGAATAATACATCAGTTTAATGGTTTGTTGTATGGACAAGTCCTCTAGCTCATCTCTCGGTATCTTTATACATAGCTGGGCAGAACGCCTGCCTGAAACTCTGGAAAAGAGTTGCCCATCAATGCAGACAACTTTGACCAAGATCAAACAATGATCTGATTTGATATAAAATGAATCCCCAGGTTTGTACTGCTGAAGTGTGGTTGGGGAGAATCAGAGCAGCAAACACAGGAGACATGATTCTCAGCCCTACAAAGAGCAGCAGTATTCAGCTTGCAAAACAAGTTGCTGTTCTGAGCCATATGCCTGATCCATGAACAAAACAGTGTTTTTTCATTATTTTTTAAACTGAGAACACTTCAAAGAGCACATTTTATTCAGAGAGTGGAAGTCCTGTGAATACAATCCCAGAGGCAGTTTCTATGCATTAAGTTTCTGATGGACACAGGATGGCAAAGAAATGGGCAAGGGGAGCATATGGCCAAAGGAAACCCCTCAACCTTTTTCATTCAGGGCCTTGACCCTTTCTCCCTTGCCTGAGACAAGCTAGGATGAAATACCATACAGCATGCTGAGAAATTAAACACACAAGGTGAATTTTTTCAGGGGCTCTGCTGCCTTGAACAAAAGTTTCTTGACTTAGAAAGCCAGTGGAACCTCACAACTTTCATTGCAGAAATCCTTCCCTCCACTTCCCTTTATCTAAGAAGCAGATCTTGGAGGGAAACATTTGAGCATAGAGAAAGTCTGTCAATATGCATGCTTAGCTCATTTCCATCTCCCCACTGGGCAGGAGTTCTTAGTCATTCTCAAGGGGCAAAATGAATCCTATTCATCTAGGAAGACCTTTAGGAACCATTATTCCATCAAATGCTGAATCTCCTGAAGAAGGAAGGAGGCATATCAACAGTGGACAGGGCTTAACTAAGCAGAGGGTAGAGCCAGAGCCAAAAGTGGGAAGGTCAGGCCTTTTTCGTTCTGTCTGCCTCTTCCTTCTCCTTCTTTTTCTCTTGGTCCCCACCCTGTGGCCTACCTGGGGAAAGAACAAATCATGCTTTGTCTGAACTTATTGTTTAAAAGGGGCTTGTTAGGTAGAGGATTTCCTAACTCTAGGAACCTAATTCTAGGAGTGGTCACTCTGGAGTGGGAGGAGAGGCCTCTTTTTGCCCCTGAAGTAACTATGGGGTCAACAGATGCTCACTGGGTTTCTGAGACGGGACAGCAACTGGTGATATTCTCCATGGAGGTGGTTGAGGTGAACTTAGCCAACATGATGAATGATCTCCTCTTGGGGCAAGACTCGTACTCGTGTGCTGCCTTCTAAAGTTGGGAATGCTTCCCAGAGATAAGCAGCAAGTCCATGTCTGCTGCCACACACACTTTACTGGATCTGATGAATGCATAGGGCTTTCCCCATAAATCCAAGATTTTCCTATCTGTAGGTAAATATCCCAGGATTTTTTGTTTAGGTGTCGAGAGCATTGTCACACTGGGAGTCCAGTGTGATCAATTTGTTACTTGCTGTTGTAGGTGACAACAAAAAAAACTAGAGAGGAGGAGGAATATTTGTGGGGGAAACCATGGACTGTCCTCGTTTTTAAGTGCTAGCCTGGTGGTCACGGGATACAAAGAGTTGCATATAGACTAGTGACCAGGGATGGAATACTTCCCTCCTCTGTGCAAGCAGAAAAGCTCAACGGGCCACTGGAGGAGGAAAGTTCCCCTCTCTGTCTCCAGCACAGAAATGCAGCTCTGGGTCTCTGTGCTGCAGGGTCGTAACTTTTGTAGGCTTATTTACAAGGTTGTTATAAACAATGTTGATTCCCTAGGTGGTGCTTCATTGCTTTGCTTGAACCACAAAATGGTAAGTTAGACACAGAAAAAATTACACTGACCGAAATATACAGCTCATGTTAAGCAGAGCTGAACCACAGCAGCTTCCAGACCATAAACTTGTGAGGGTGTGAGAAGCAATCTTGCATTAGGGAGCACATATAAATGGAGATGCCACAAATCCTTGCCAAGTTGGAGAAAGTAAAGAGGATTGAGTAATAGCAAAGGGTGACAGGTAAACATGATGCTGGAACTGTCACTGGGCTCGTTTGCATAATGTGGCAGCCCATCATGCATTAATTAACCCTCAAGGAGCTACAGTACATGCTAGCTACCATTAAGAATAAGCAAGAATAAGCTGGGGGCTATGAGGAGTTTCTGTGCCATGCAAATCTGGTTGGTAAGGGTTAATTGAGAGCTAAACAACTCCACAGCAGAAGGTGGGGTTTACAAGAGGTGTTTAGCTCTCAAATAACCATCACTGGCTGGCTCTGCATGACTCCACAATCGGTCCAAGCCTGCATGTTCATAATGGCAGCTGCCAAGCACTGCAGCTTCTCAAGGGTTATATAGTTCCTCCTTACTCCTCACTAGTCAGACCTCACCTGGAATACTGTATCCAGTTCTGGGCACCAAGATTTAAGAAAGATACCGGTAAATTATAAAGGGTCCAGAGGAGGGCAACAAAAATGATCCAGGATTTGGAAACATTGCTCTATTGAAAACACTAAGACTGAGACAATTGGGCATGTTCAGTCTTGAGAAGGGAAGACTGAGGGGGGACATGATATCCCTCTATAAGTACCTCAAAGGCTGTCACAAAGAGGAAGGTCAAGATCTCTTCTTACTGATGCCAGAGTGTAGGACACGGAATAATCAATTCAAGTTGCGACAACCCAGATTCAGGCTGGACAACAGGAAGAGCTTCCTCACTGTCAGAGCAATATAACATTGGAATCAACTGCCTAGAGAGGTGTTGAGTGCTCCCACACTGGAGACATTCAAAAAGAAACTGGACAGCCATCTGAGTGAG